GAAAAGCTAAATGAAAATGACAATAACAAAAAAATGAAAAATAAAAAAAAAAAAATCACCAATTACACAGAAATGCCAAAGAACGTGTTGGTTTATATTTTTAGTTGCAATAGTAATAATAATATTATTTCAACTAGATATACTCGTAGTACCTAGTATTTTATTTTATGTATTTTAATTTTTTTTTGCATTTAAATTTAAACTACACTACGCCTACGTACAATTGTTTTGCTAAACTTAAAAATGTCCGTTTGTTGAAATGTTTATACTGATATTTATTAATGCTTGTTGTTGCTTTTAAACCATATTAACAATTAAATATTTTTAGAATATAATATAATAACAGATTTCAATTAGTTTTTATTTCGAAACAAAAATTAAGTAAAACACAAATTATAGTTTTGGTTCAATAGTTTTTAAAAACAAATCACTATTAATAAAAAAAAAATGTTGTTGCAAAAAGTTAGTTGTTCTTTAATAAATTTAAAATTTTTGATCAAAAATAAAAAGTTTTCAAAAAATATAACACTAACAAGATAATTATTTTTCACGAGACTTGCAGTAAATTTATAACTGATCAATATACAGTGGGTGGCAAAACATTCGAAACTTTTTCTAACCTTAGAAATATTCTGTTTTTTCCTTTATAATCGTATATTTAAAATCGTCCATGCTTTTGCGTCCATATTTAGCGAACTAGAACTAACCTAACCTAGGCAGATCACTTAATTAAAACAATCACTTTCGAGTATAAATATTCGATTACAAGTCAATTGTTGGCTTTTTGTGCCATGCATGTTTTCCATATAGTGTTTTTTAATGAATCTCTATCTTTTATAGCAGGAATTTGATCAATACCTTGTCCTAAAAACCGTTAAATACCATCATATTGCCATCGCTAAACTTAACGACCGAATTTTGTAGTTCGGTCCTAATAAGTCTCCCCTTGGTATTTGGACACGACCAAAAAGAAGAGAGTATTTCATATTGATTCGACCAATCTATGTCATCTTATGTAAAATTAAATAATTATTAATAATAATTCGAGAGTTTGGACCATTCCTAAAATATTTGGAAAAGTTTGCATTATTTTGTCACTCACTGTAGATATATTGTCAGGAATTCTGATTAAACTACAGGTTCTATCAACCTTCTCTATTTCTTGGTCACTTTAAAATAAGTATTACTTTTGTTTTGTTTTGTGAAATCTTAAAAGTTTTCGTTTTCTTTTACAACAAATTTCTATTCAAATCAATTATCGGATATAAGGATATATGTACAGTTAAACATGTAAGGATTCTATGATTTTGAGACATTCTTGATAACAACTTCCGTAATTTCCTTTCAAAGTTTCCCTTTTTTTGTTATTTCTAAAATGTTTGGATCTTTCAAAATATTCATTCGAAAACTGAAAATTTTTATAAAAATTCATAAAAATTTAAAAAAATAAAAATGGAAATTCAAGTTTACATAAAATATTGGAAAATTAAAATTTTCCTAAAAATAAGAAATTTTAAGAAATCAAGAATTATCTGTTTTTTTAATTTAAATATTTTTAATAAAACTAATATAACAACTTTTTTATTAAAATCATGTACATACATACATATACTGATTTTATGATTAAGCAACGAAGTTGCATTAAAGAAGAAATACAATAAGCATCACATTAATTCCGAAGCAATATGGGTTGATTCTCCATCTTTCTTACTTGCAACTATAAATATCCGTCCAATAAAAACCCCTTTTGATAAAAAAAAATCAAGGACTTGACATATAAACATGTGGCCATGACCATAGATACCAACATCTTTAGATCATATTTTATTTTTATTATTTGTGTAGGCGTGGTAATTAATAACAATATGGAAAAAGTAATTTTTATATTTAATTTGAATATGACACACAAACCATTACACAACATAGAAATGAAAACATTTCCTCATCATCCTCTTCGTTTACAATGATACCTTTTAAGTATAAATATAATTTCAAGTGTGTCTATTTCCATACAATGCCTTCATCTATCTATCCATCAACCTGATCAAATACTACCCTCTTAATAACCATACATACCATACCATACTTGTACCTCACCAGACCACACCACCAAACCATGCCTGTCACACCGACCAACCTGACCAACATGAAATCAAGTTTTATGTTTCTTCGTTTTTGTAGTTGTTGTATACAAAGATTGCATTTTAAACTAATTGTAGGCGCAAGCAAATTATTATTACATCCAACCAATGCAATAATTTATTAATACTTACCTACAGCTGTTGCTGCTGCTACGGCTGTTGTTCCAAGCTGTTAACTTTAGTATTGGTTATAAAAAAGCAATAACAACAAATGTAAACATACAGACACTATACAACAATAATAAAGCAAAACAAAAAAGAAACTCTCTCAAACGTATAGAATCTAAACGAAGTAACAACATAAAGCAATACCAGCAACATGTCAGGTAAATTTATTTTATTAACCTTTTTCTTCTTATTAGCTTTTATTAGTCCAACTTTATACACACACTTAGCCATAGTCTGACTCTCTATCTTATTCTCTTTCATTTTCCTATTTTTCGTATTCTTCTTTCTAATTTACTTTATTCGTTTGTTCATTCAAACGTACGTAATTTATTTCCTCTCGCTCCCCCAGTAATTGTCTGTGTTGAAGAGATAGTGAGAGAGAGTTTTATTAATTACAAAGCTCCCAGATGGGGGTTCTTTTTAATCCACAAATTGAAAAAGAAATTTCCCTATAAAATCGGCAATTAAATAAGAATTTTTCAAAATTAGCTTATACAGGGATTTATTTGATTCCAATTAGATAATATAATGATTAGAATAAATCTGGTTTCATGCATCGTTCTCATTAGGAGTTAATGTATCCACGAAAAGTTTATGTTTGGAATTAAGCATTTGAATCCTTATTCCTTGGAAAACAGCATCATCATATAGAAGAAGTTATTAGATCTAATGCCATTTAACATTTGTAATTCCAATTGGAAAGTATAAAATTTGAAGGAGTTATCGTCAGGAGTTAGCAGCATTTAACTTTTTAACTCTTTCGGATCTTTATTGTTTGGAACTGAAATGGAAGATAGAACTTTGATTATCGTTGTATTCAGTAGGAAGGCGCATCATCACACTGTTTATTAAAAAATCGATATTTTGTGCACTAAGTTCGGAAATCGTGTCATTAAGCGTTCTTTGCGATACCAATTGGATGCCGAAGAGCTTCGATTTGACCCCTTTAGACTTTTTTGTGTGGCCAAATGCCACAAATTCGGGAAGGGGCAGTTGATTCATGGGATTTGATTCATGGTAATAGCTTTTCGGGATACGTTTCTGTTATCGTTCCTAATTTCTAGAAGCGGTACACAAACCACAGGGTAGGCTGTGAAATAAAATGTTGGGTTTGAGCTGATAATTTACAGGTTGATGTTTGACTGTTGGATATTTGATGTATCTGATGAAAGTGTTGGAGGAGATGAAAGTGTTGGAAGAGACGGAAGTGTTGGAAAAGATGAATGTGATGAAGATGGATAGAATTAGAATGTTAGGGAGATGGTAAGAATGGGAAGTGAAGAGGATGTGTGATGATGGAGTTTTGCTGCATACGTTAGTATGATGATGGTTTTTGAGCGGTTGAGGATGAGGTGGATGCTTTACTCTTTCTTTTATCGGCAATTTTCCTTGATGATTGGATGTGTTTGGAGTTTACTCTAATAATGATCTGCAGTAGGTCCTAATGGCCACTTAAATAAGTCTTGTCAAGTTGTTATGGTGTTCGTGATCCGGTCTGCCAATTTGTCCCTAAGTGCTTTTGCTAACTCAACAGAACCAACTGAGTAGTGTGGTTGCGCGGGCTTTAAGAGGTAAGAGAATGTACTGGAATGGGCCATTAGATAATGGGGATTGCATTTCACCTGATGCTGGGGTAAGCCCGTCTATTAACTTTAGACCAGTGATAGCTTTTTCCATATCGCGGTATGCATTGGGATTGTTCTAATGTTGCGTGTCATTCCAAAATGGGACTACTATGGCAAGAGATTAGAAAGCTCCTTTACTTCTGCAAGTTGCTTGCACATGGACCAGCAGAACCATGTACAAAAATTGCCACCTGAGAGTCCTTCATTGAAGGGATTCAATGTGGGCCGTTCTAAGTCCACACAGTGGATGGAAAAGATCACCGTGAAATAAGGCCGTCAAGGCAGGTGTTTACGTTAAGCACAATGATTTTCTTTCACTTTTTAATCACGCTATATTGTGCTCAGCTGAATTCTTAATATACTTCAGCAAATTTGATATTTCAGACTTATTCCAATTGCAAACTTTTCATTACAATTCTTTCTAATGGACAACAATACCAATTGATTGATTGTCTTTGTTTTGCTCAATTTACTTTTTTGTTTTTATACTTTCCACCGATTTTCTTGTGTGTACGATTAAACTACGAATAACTGACAGTTTATTCGGTTTTTTTTTTGTTAGTATTTCTTCAGCCAAACTACACAATAAAAAGAAGAAAGAAATGTATAGAAATAAAACAAAAACAATAAAACAAAAGCCGAGTGAGCACCAGACGAATGTTAACCCAGCTGCTGTTTTTGCTGCTGCTGTTATGACTACTACAACTAACTAACAAACTCAAAAACTAAACGAAGCTCCCCATTTGGGGAACCTACATAAATAACAGATGAGAGATTGAAAGAGTATAAAAACAAAACAGTGATGCTAACTAAGAGTTGTCTGTGACACCTGCTGTACATTTTAAATGAAATTTTTTTTGCTATTAAAAAATGCCTAAGAAAATTACTTTTTAAATTGCTAGAACAATGTTTAACAATTTACCCAAGTTTAAACTCTAACTAAAGTTATATTTCTTTAACTCTAAAACCTTAACAAAAAAGCACTGATTGGACATCACTACAATAAAGTAAGAAACAATTTAATTTAGTTTTTTGCCTTTATGAGCGAATGAGTAAATTTTAGTCGCTCAGACGCAGTACGTCGTCGTCGTCTCGTATGTGTCAGAAAAGTAAAAAACCTAAAAAATTAAAAAAAATCTTTTGTCTTGTGCTGTTATAGAGGAAAAAAGAACAATTTATTTAGAACATTTAAACAGGAAAAACTATTTTCAAAAATATATATAAAATAAAAAGTTTTTCCTTAAAAAAAAGTGTAAAAACTATTAAGAAAAAAATTGTCTTAAGACAATCTATAAAAATGAGTATAATTAAGGCAAAAAAGCTTAAAGAATAAAATATAATTTTAATTGTGAAACAAATAAAAGTGAAAATCGGCCGTGATCTCGGTAAATTTACAGTAAATAGTTGTGTGTGCGTTTAAAATCATTATTTTTAGATTTATCGATTTTATACGACATTGTGTGTTCTTATTAGTATTTTGTGGTGCTGCCAAAGTGCTGCCTAACTGCTGCAGCTTAATGAATAAAGAAAAGTAAAAAAATAACAAAAAATTAAAATTTCTATTAAAGCAAATTAAAAAAAAGAAATTAAACAAACCAAAAAATATGTAATACGGAAAAAAAATAAAGAAAAAATGTCATAAAAATAATGACCGAAAAGAATGTTTCCAATGAAAAATTACTCGGTGTTGTACTACACAAACGTATGAATGTGAAATAATAAATTAAGGGTCGTCCACCATCGTCATCACCACCGCTGGAAAACGAAACCACGACCACAGACCACATAACCAATAAAAACAACAACAAAAACACCATCACCACACATCCATTCATTAGCGGCCGCAATATGAGACAAAAAGTATGAAAGTGATAATTTTTTTTTATTTTTTCATTTATAAAGAAAAAAATATCTAAATATGAAAAAATATATAAATCACGTAAATTACTTATTTTTATTATTAAATATAAAAAATAGAAAAGTATATATTTAATAAAAGTTATGAGTGTGTGTGTGTGATACTATCAACCAGTAATGACAAAAGTGTTGAAGATAAAAATCGCTTAATTTTTTTTACTAATCCTACATTAAAATAAACAAAAAACATTAAATAATTTGTATTGATCGAAAGTTTTACTTAATCTGAAGAGTAGGTTTTCCGAAAGAAACAGTCGTTGTTATCGTCAGTCTGACTGAAGTGACAACTCGAATTGGTCTTTGAAAACGGTCTAGACGGCTTTGTCTAATACGTGAATATTGATAGAGGAGTAATCTATTGATACGTTTGAATCCATCCATAGCGAATTAGGTTAGTTAGTTCGTTAGTTAGTTAGTGAGTTAGTTAGTTAGTTAGTTAGTTAGTTAGTTAGTTAGTTAGTTAGTTAGTTAGTTAGTTAGTTAGTTAGTTAGTTAGTTAGTTAGTTAGTTAGTTAGTTAGTTAGTTAGTTAGTTAGTTAGTTAGTTAGTAGTTAGTTAGTTAGTTAGTAGTTAGTTAGTTAGTTAGTTAGTTAGTTAGTTAGTTAGTTAGTTAGTTAGTTAGTTAGTTAGTTAGTTAGTTAGTTAGTTAGTTAGTTAGTTAGTTAGTTAGTTAGTTAGTTAGTTAGTTAGTTAGTTAGTTAGTTAGTTAGTTAGTAGTTAGTTAGTAGTTAGTTAGTTAGTAGTTAGTTAGTTAGTTAGTTAGTTAGTTAGTTAGTTAGTTAGTTAGTTAGTTAGTTAGTTAGTTAGTTAGTTAGTTAGTTAGTTAGTTAGTTAGTTAGTTAGTTAGTTAGTTAGTTAGTTAGTTAGTTAGTTAGTTAGTTAGTTAGTTAGTTAGTTAGTTAGTTAGTTAGTTAGTTAGTTAGTTAGTTAGTTAGTTAGTTAGTTAGTTAGTTAGTTAGTTAGTTAGTTAGTTAGTTAGTTAGTTAGTTAGTTAGTTAGTTAGTTAGTTAGTTAGTTAGTTAGTTAGTTAGTTAGTTAGTTAGTTAGTTAGTTAGTTAGTTAGTTAGTTAGTTAGTTAGTTAGTTAGTTAGTTAGTTAGTTAGTTAGTTAGTTAGTTAGTTAGTTAGTTAGTTAGTTAGTTAGTTAGTTAGTTAGTTAGTTAGTTAGTAGTTAGTTAGTTAGTTAGTTAGTAGTTAGTTAGTTAGTTAGTTAGTTAGTTAGTTAGTTAGTTAGTTAGTTAGTTAGTTAGTTAGTTAGTTAGTTAGTTAGTTAGTTAGTTAGTTAGTTAGTTAGTTAGTAGTTAGTTAGTTAGTTAGTTAGTTAGTTAGTTAGTTAGTTAGTTAGTTAGTTAGTAGTAGTTAGTTAGTTAGTTAGTTAGTTAGTTAGTTAGTTAGTTAGTTAGTTAGTTAGTTAGTTAGTTAGTTAGTTAGTTAGTTAGTTAGTTAGTTAGTTAGTTAGTTAGTTAGTTAGTTAGTTAGTTAGTAATATGTCACTTTGATGTAATGGTAGAAGTTTCAACAATTTGTTGGCCATTGGCCAGATGTTGATGAAGGTACCCTTTGAACGAGATTACATGGTCCATACTATTTACATGACTGGTAAACCTATAAACACAGTACCTATTTCTGTCTGTCCAATATTTCAGGTCTTTGATGGTGCACTTGGTTCTATAATTCGAATACCCTAATGATTCAAATACCTGATGAAACTAAAGTTTTCCAAGTTCATATTTTCCATTTGAACATATTGAAAGTCGGTAACAACGGTTCGACCTTTTGAGTAGTCTAGCGAGCGTACAACTCTCCCAGAGGTTGCGTAATTTTTACCAAAACTATTCTTCAATAAATGATAAATTTTCGAACTTTCTTCAATGGAAATCTACCGGTTTTGGGCCGTGGAAGTATGGTTCTGACTACTAGGAAAAGTCGATTTTGTTTAATTTTGCAGCATGTATTACAAAATTGACAACACTTTATTTCCTATATTTATATTTATTTTCGTAAAATGATGAGTAGAGGAATATGAATAACAAGAATAAGACTAACAACAACATCCAAAAATACAAGCAGAAATAACCGAGGAGAGAGAGCGATATGAGTTGAGTGACGACGTTTTAGGTGAACTAGTGTGTGAATGTGAATATTTATATTATTTAAGAACACAAAAAAAGAAATACGAAACAAAAAATTTTAAAATTACCTAATCACTAATGGAATAAATATGAAATTTTGCAAATTCTGATGTAAAATATAAATATTTTTCATAATTTAACAATTAAGTTAACTGTTTTCATTAAAAAAATATTTTCACCTCTTGGAAAATTAACTACAGAAAGTCTGATTATAAATAATAATGACAATTATTTGCAATATTCATTAACTCAATACTACACGATACGTTCATTCATTAATTATATCCATTCACTCAATTATTTACATACATTTTGTAGTGTTAAACTTAATGTATGTTTTCTTGTTTGTGCAACAAACCCCTATTAAGCAATTAAACTAAATCCTTTTGTTTTAATTTTTTTTATGTTTTATATTATTTTATAAAATTTGTTTTGGTTTCTTTTTCTAATATTTGTATGAAATGGACGGGTAGTAGTTTGTCGGTGTAGTTTTCGCCTGTATCGCGTCGTTGTTAAATATTCTTGCTGTTTAGTTATTATTTATAAAATGGTTAAATATTTACTCAATTGGGTTTGGTTGGTTGGGGGTTTATTATTATATTTAACACTAAAAATGTGGCGCTATATTGAATTTGTCATTCCTTTTGTAACATAACGAATTATTTATCTGGGGCTTTATAAAATTTGTTCAACTAGAAATTCCCCTAAGAACGAAAATTTCTGCCTGTGATATGTCAGAAATTCGGCATGACAACTTACGGAGTTGACCCAGTAAGAAGTTTTGAAAGATAATAGTAGGTACATGAAAAATTTTAATTCGGTATCAGATCAGATAGATATTTTAGAAAAAAATTTAAGACGGTGTTTTTTTTTAAGTTTTATTAATTGACATTTCTTATATTTTCGGCATATATGTAGTTAAAAATCATTGTATATTTTTTACAAATACATTGTATGTGTGTATATTCTTTGGTTAAAACGTACTGACTGTCTCTTTAACATTATAATATTCATTTTATTCACTTGTCGTTTTAAATTTTTTCTAGTTTCTTTTCATACGGTTCTAGTGTTGTTGGTCCTCTATGTATAGTTTTTTTCTTGTCATATTTGTCGTATTGTGTCTATTTTGCAGGCCCTCTTTTTATTGTTATTGTTGCTTTTATTAAATAGTTGGTATGTCAATTAGTCGTTCGGTCTGTTGTTCTGTCATCACCCGGTTTTTCGTATAAACAGTTAAGCGGCTTCTATATTGTGTTTTATTTTATGATTGAGCTATTTTCCTTATTTTGTTTATTTATGTCTTTATTTCTAATTATTTGTCATTTTTATTATAGTACTACGTAAACATTGATGCCAGATTTGTAGTTTTGTTTGACATTTGACGATTTGAGAATTTTTTTGTAACGTAATAAAAGGTGAATATTAGTTTATTGATTAAATGGTGTTTGTATTAACCCTTAAAAGGTAAACAAAAAATATTTTTTAAAGACTAGACTTTAATCTTCTATATTAATCTTAGGTATAATTCTGGGACTAAAATGGTCGTTTAGGTAACATTGGAAAATCCTTTCTCCAAATTAGTAAAAAATTTAGTTAATTTTGCTTGCCTAATTCTAAGTTGAGAAAAACAAAGAAGTAACTCCAATAAAAATGCGTTAACGCTACTTTGAAAGTTGTACTAACCGATTTCTTTAATATCTTTGCCCTTAATCTGTTCCGATTATTTTGTGACCAATTTTAGTCAAAGTTTTTATGATTAATGGTTTGGATTGAAACTGTATAGTTCTTCTTTTAAATAACTGGACGCTAGAATCTATACCTAAATATCACTATTACAAGATGATCTCTAATAGATTCCATAGTATTATTAACCAGTTTTGATGCAATAGCAATGTGAGTATTAATTGGATTATATAGTAGCAGTCTAATTTGTTCAATTCGTAGTTTCTTAAGCTAGTAGAACAAGAAAAACTTATATAACATAGAATTATTATTAATACTTTCGATTACAGTTACTTCTACCTTCTTTTTTATGTTTTAAACACATTACTTTTAAGGGTATCACAATGGACCCTAGTGGTTTCAAAGTGGAGTTTTATCACTTTGATGTTAGATCTAATTTACTGGAAGAAAGGACAACAACTGCCAACAACTTTGTACTGGTTTAAGCTATTTTATTTTAGCCTTTTTTTCGTTTTTTTCCCCATTTTTAGTACCAAACAGTTTTGATAAAAACAAAATATATTTGGGCAACTTTTATCCCTAAGCTTCTCCCTTTTAGGATCTATGTAACTTTCGTGCTTTTAAAATGAAAATAAGTGAACAGACAAAGCTAGTTATGGGAATCCGAATATATGTATCATAACAAAGTTTTGGACTCAAATGTTTGACATTTTTGGTTAATTAAATCAATTTGACAGTTTTGTCAAAATACATAATGTCTTTTCATGTGGCATCATATTTTAATTATTTTTATATTTGCAAAAGTTTTCTTATTCTACTTCATTTTACATAAATTTTTTCCTATTTTACATTATTTTTTTTTCTTAATTCCTATTTTTTAATCAAATTTATCTTATGTCTTCGCTTTCGTTAAACGAAAATACAAGTTCTCTTCTAATTTTTTTTCTACCATCTGTTCCTTTTATTCTCATTCGTGTTTTTGGGGGTTTTGTTTTCTTTTTTTTGCGATTCGACAAATACAATACAAGAGTACAAGTGAAATGTGCAGAATAATAAAAATACAATTGTGTGCTAAAAAAGAAAGAAAAATACACAAAAGAAACATGACTAAAACAGCAAGAAATAAAGA